TTGCTATGTTGCCCCAGGCTGAATTCAAGACTCAAGTGATTCTTCTGCTTCAACCTCTTGAGTAGCTGGGACTAAAGGTACATGCCACTGTGCCCAGGAGGCAAATCTCTTGAAAGAATAATATCAGTTGCCATTTATTAAGCACTTCCTATCTTCTAGGTACTGTTTTAAGAAGAAAAGCTCATATAATTTTTACAACAATCTAAGGAGGGAAGTATAATTGACTAAGGCTTTGAAACTAATTTTCAGGTCTTAAAATCTGTGATTTCACCATTATACTATATGAAAATAACTAGGTATATATTTAATAAGAGGATCAAGGACATTTGATGTTAAATATGTGAAGACATGTGATAGGAACAGGGTTGATGCATATTATGCAGGGTCCAACCAAGAAAACAAAACAAAAATAAAGAGGAAATTTAAGCTAGAGATTATTTAACAGAGAATTAGTTGCTTAAGTGGTGGTGGAACTAAGAAAACAGTAGGGGTACTGAGATAACCAATGTCTTAGGTCAGATTCCCCAGACGCAGAGCTTGAGGTGGCATTTCTTGTACACCTGATTTAGGGGAAGTACTGTCAGGAGAAACTAGAACTGAAAGAAGTAAGCTAGAATGGGGGAAGAAACTAGGCAAAGACATTGTTTCAGAAATCTAGCCTCAGCTTGATGCCATGAGGAACTCTAGAACATGGATTGAACCACAGAAGTTGTCTAGTCCAAAGGCAAGGGGGCTGGGCTATTACACCCTTGTATAGTCATTGGCTATAAGCCACCCCTGGGGAACAGGAGGGGGTTGGGGCCTGATCTCATAATCTCCCAAACATATTTGTTGGGGCAATTATTGTCAGCCAAGAGCAGGCCTCTGGAGAAGAGTACAGGTGTGGGTCATTAGCAGCCAATACCCACAGCAGCTGGGAGATGGATGCACTGGCCCAGCAAAGGAGATCTGGGTAGGATACCAACAGCATCTGCTATAAACTACATCCAGACACTATCCATATGCTCGAGAACCATCCATAAGCTGTAGGGACTAAAGTGGAGGCAATGATACCCGGTGGTAAGTGTTTAAAATGACAAAAATAGTGTGCATGTGTATCTGTACATAAGCTTATTATAAATTTCACCGACATAAAGGATGTGCAGCACATGGTTTTCATAATAAGACTAAATGCAGTATGCTTTATTGTAAATTCCACCCAGTGAACTAATGCTCACAGAATGCTTTTGTTGAGTTTGTATCCATAGCCAACTAATGGCTGCAACTGACCAACTAGTGTAGTTCTGACATGAAAGGTGGCTGCTCTAAGTGTTTTACATATATTAAATCATTTACCCATGACAGTCTAATGAGGTAAATACTGTTAACACTCTCATTTTATCAATAAGGAAAACAAAACACAAAAAGATTATGTAACTTGCCCAAGATTACACACTTAATAAATACATTTAGGTCTAATATGATTGAAATAGAGATCATGGACTAAAAAGGCAATGAGGCTAAATAAAGAACTATGTTACCACATAAGCTAGGAGAAAAGAAATGGAACCCTACTGGAACAAAAGGTAAGTAAATGCCTATATACATTAATGGAGGTATGTCCAAAAACATTTCCCAACCGGTTAATTCAATGGATACTTATTAAATACTTATTTCATCCATACAAATCTCTGAGCTAGGACCTAAAGAGATATTTAGAAAGCCACTATTCCTCTTAGCTGAAACCATCAAATCCTGTAAAGTAATACTAATTACAATAAGGCCTGCAAATATAGCAGGCAGAGCAAATATGTCCACACATCAGATGGTGTCCAGGGAGTCAAGTATAAAGAGAAGAATTTGGTTGCATGTTTTAATAGAGCTTGTCCCTTGGAAACACACAGGACACCTGGAAATTCAACTCCTGCAGTCAACTCCTTCAAAGAGAAACTATATTTTCATATGCCACATTTAGGAGTACATATGGTGTCTGAAAATAGTGAGACAAAATGACAATAAGTTCAATGACAATCTTGGTAGATCAAAAAAACCCAAAGAGAAAAACCGTAACTTAAAAAAATGTCACTTATATGACATAATGTATGAATAATATATTAATAGTGAAAAGTCCCTTTTCTTTAATCTTTTGCTACAGTCATGTGCCCAATCTTAGGATTCCTAACTTTCATCATCAATACTGAGCTTGGAATTCTAAATTCCCATTTTGTCTTCTGCACATGGCTTTAGTCAGCAGCAACCTAACTCATACTGGGACCAGGGCACTTCGCCAGCAATGAGGTGAAGAGTGGAATATGGTTGTTCAGTCCAGCTTAGTGGGCCACGGTTTAGTCACCAGATTAAAATAAGAAATGGCGGAGGCCGAGGCGGGTGGATCACGAGGTCAACAGATCGAGACCATCTTGGTCAACAAGGTGAAACCCCATCTCTACTAAAAATACAAAAATTAGCTGGGCATGGTGGCGCGTGCCTGTAATCCCAGCTACTCAGGAGGCTGAGGCACGAGAATTGCCTGAACCCAGGAGGCGGAGGTTGCGGTGAGCCGAGATCGCGCCATTGCACTCCAGCCTGGGTAACAAGAGTGAAACTCCGTCTCAAAAAAAAAAAAAAAAAGAAACAGAAATGGCTGTGTCATCAACCCAGCTGCTAGATGCTTTGAGGAGTAAGCCTAGCTGGGAAGGTTAGAAACAACTGTCTGATGCCCACATTCTCAAACCCCGAACCAAATCCAAAAGAAGTAACCAACACAGGAAGTGACATCTTAGAACAGGCTAAGGCCACTCTTAGTCTAGTGTCTGAAACTGTCATGCTCTGTGACACTTAAATTACAATTGCAATATAACATGGTTAAATATCAAACTCAAACCCGGTCTGCGGTTTGGATATTTAGATTAAAAAGCAAATGGGTAGTCCTAACAGTAGAGGGACTGGGTGGTGGGTGTTGCCAAATGTCCTAATTACCTGACGTCCACTGTTCCCTCACTAAAAGTTGTCATAAACACTTGGGAATCTAAGAGCTCATCAGGAGGGCCAACCAGGAGAGTCAGGGTCAAGGTACCACAATAAGAGCAGGGGGAGAAGACAGAAGCCTAACAAGTCTTCATTGTGTAAATTCATTTCTGTGGCATGCTACAGATGTTAACAACATCCTCTCATGATTCATTAATACATCCATCCAACAGACATTTACTGAGCACCTGGCACCATCCTAGGTGCTGAGAAAACAGCAGGAAACAAAACAAAGAGTTGGAAACAAAACAAAACTTTCAGTCTTTATACTGCTCAGATTAAAGCCAGCCTATCATCATAGAGGTTAAAAATGCCAGGCACAGTGGCTCATGCCTGTAATCCCAGTACTTCAAGAGGCCGAGGCAGGTGGATCATGAGGTCAAGACCATCCTGGCAAACTTGGTGAAACCTCGTATCTACTGAAAATACAAAAATTAGCCAGGTGTGGTGGCGTGTGCCTGTAATCCCAGCTACTCAGGAGGCTGAGGCAGGAGAATCGCTTGAACCTGGGAGGCAGAGGTTTCAGTGAGCCAAGATTGTGCCACTGCACTCCAGCCTGGGCATCAGAATGAGATTCTGTCTCCAAAAAAAAAGAAGGGCAGGTACTCATCTGGCCAACTTCCTTTTAATTTTTTAAGACTGTGGTAAGAGGATGGAAAGAGTAGACCAGCTGAGCGTCTCATCCTGACTCTTCTGCCACCACAGCGTGCCAGCAGCAGTCTTGCTTGGCCTGTGTCAGAGTCCTAACAAAGGTCTAACAAAGGTCTGCAGAGAACCTCTGAAAAAGACTTAGGTCCTTAATAAAAAGAGATGCCCAAAGAGAACCACCTCTCTTATAGTTTTAGATTTCATTGAGCGATAAGCTTAATCTCTGAACAGCATCAGCCTTCTAGCAACCTTGAAGGAGACGTATCTACACACTGGGGATGTGAGGTAGGAAGACAGAAAGAGCCTGGGTCCTGCAGCACATCCCTGAGCAACAGAACCACCCACGCACATTGTAAGGAGACCTTACTACATGAGCACAGTAAATGCTTATTACTCAAGCCAATTTTAGGAGAATTTGCAACCAAAAAATATCAAGTTCCCTCCTGTTAAATTAAAAGGCTTTGAATAAGTTCCTTAAAAGAGTAGTTCTTTGAAAGACATAACCAATGAGTTTAAAAACAGTGATATTCAGGAATCAATAATAAAAACAGGTTCTCAAAGTTGTCCCTATGGAAAATCTGATCTCTAGACCACTGCTGTGCAGTTGAAATTTTCGCAGTGATGAAAATATTCTACATCTGTGCTTTCCAGCATGGTGGTCACTGAGCACTTGAAATGTGGCTAGTATCATTGTGAATAAACTGAATTGTTTGATTCCTCTATTTGAAGTTAAAACACCACATTGGACAGTGCCACTCTAGACATTTCCATAAGTGACCTCTGACATAAGAGACCACTAGAAACCACTACGACAGGAGCAGTTACAGAGATCTCATCCTGTCTCTGAAAGGAAGACCACAGAGCCTTGTTGGTATAGGAGGGGCTGCTGTTGCCCCCATCCAATGGTGATTTCCCAGCGGGCAGCTGCTGAAGGACTCAGCAACAGGCCAACCAAGACTGCTGCTGGCCACGCTGAGGTGGCAGAAGAGTCAGGATGAGAAGCTCAGCTGGTCTCCTCTTTCCATCCTCTTACTACAGTCTTAAAAAATTAAAAGGAAGTAAGAATAAATTCCTTCTGGAAAACTCAATGGTACCAGAGACCCATAAACAAGCCAATTTTAGATAACTCAAATTGTAAATGGGTATTCAAATCTTAGTGAACACTGTAGCCTTAGAACACAGGTCATCTCAGCAGTGTCATTAATACTTTAAGAGGAAGGCTTCCCAGCACGGGAGATGGAAAGGAGAAGGAAGAGAAAAGCAGTAATTTTAAATTCTTTTTAAACTCCTCCCATCTACAAAACCTCAGTCTTTTAGATTGGTGATTCTGCGGACTTTTTTTCATCTTTTAAACAGACTCAATCTGTTTTTTTTTTGTTTTTATTTTTTAAATGAACAACTAAGAATTCAGGCAGGACTAAGACATACATATCTAAACTCACACTTTTATCATGGACTTCCCCACCCACACAACAAAACAAGCCAAAATATAGGAAAGTAAGTTAAGCTCCTCCACTAAATAGTCAATACAAAGTATAAAAATATAAAGATTTAAAGTCAGTTTCTCTAAAGGGAGATGTACTTTCCTGTTTCACTTTTCAAACAGTCAAAAAACAAAGAGTCAAAAAGACAGTCGTTACTGTTGAGCTGCAGAAAACCAAAGTCCCCAGACTACAGTGAGATCTACTGTGAATATCTACATTGGAAATAAAAGATGATCAACATATATCATCACCCACCCCACCACACCTACATATCACATTGCATCTAACCTTGTTAGGTGTTTATATACATCATCTCATTTCACCCTTTAGACTTTATTATCCTCATTTAATGGAAGACGAAATTGAGAGAGAGAGGACAAGCATTTTGCTTGAAGTCCAGCAAGTAAGTGGTACATCAAGGATTCAAACTCTAGACTATCTGACTCCAAAGACCACGTGTTCTTTTCCACTACATGGTGCTGCTTCCCAGAGAATGTGAGAGGCTCCAGCGAAACGGGAATGGACAGAATATTCTATTCAAACGAGCATGCATGTTTAAGAGCCACAGGCTGTAAAGAATAGTTAAGACGGCTATTGAAGAGAAGGGTACAAGGCATCCAATGGGTTGGGGGTGGGCAGCAAAGCATAAGCTTGGAGGAAATTAGGAACAGGTGGCTTATGGGTGGGGCACAGTGAAGAGAATGAGTGTGAAACAGAAAATCTGAGTTATTGACAAGTAAATGGCTAGTGTGAAAACAGAATATGGATGGCTTTGTAAATCAGGCAGAGTGTCTAGACTGGATCCAGCAATTAATAATTATTATAGAGCCCTGAGGAAAATACCTGGGGTGGTCTTGTGCTGCTTAAGGATCCTGTCTCCCACTCACTGCCTGTTAATACTTACGGTGAACAATGCCAACCACCCATACCTGCACTTCCTCCAGGTCCAAACTGCCAAGCACAAATACTCCACACACTTCTGTATGTACGGCTAACTGCATAGCCTAAAAGATTCATTTAGTAAGGTATTTCTATATTTATTAGACATCTACCATAAGAAAATGTTCTGAGAAAAGAAGAAAAAAATGTTCTTCCTTCCCCTAAAGGCTAGAAGATAGTCAGCAAAGAAACCTTATTTTGCCTTATTTTTAATTCCCCCAGTATAAAGTTTGAGAGGTGACTACGAGAAGCACCAGTGGCAGAGTTGGATGTAAAACAGAGGAAGAGATAATAATGCACAAAAGGAGGGTTTATCAAGCCAGAGACTCCGAGTTTAATCCTGCTGGAACACTGGGAGCTATAGCACAGAACAGATGCTAGGGGTAAAGGGGTTGTGTCTTAGCCACCTCTCCTGACTCTGCCCAATTGCCTATCAGTGGTGGCTTGGGGGCTGTTGAGGAAGGCAGGCTTTAATTTCCTAGCACCTCTGGTTTGCCCAAAGCACCCAGGCAAAGCAAATTGAAGTAGTCAGAGACCCCAACTCTCACCCTCAAGGCACAGGCTATACCCACAGAAATGGAGTTATGGCTGGGACACCAACAGGGCCTCCCTCAGCTACCCAAAGAAGAGCATGTAAGTGTCACTTTAAGCCATTTGACTAGCTGGTGGCTCTAAAGCAGAGACCACAAAAAATACAATCCTTATTAATGGAAGTAAAAACTAAGACTTGGTTTATGTAACAATGATGTACTTAGCAGAAGACAGCCAGTAAGTCTGCCAACATTAAGCAGCGGTTCTCAAAAGGTAAGTCTTCAAGACCCTTTTGGAAGACATAGGAGAACAAAACTACGTTAGTAATTACACTAAGACATTATTTGCTGTTTTCACATATGGTACAAAAGCAAAGGTGGGTAAAGGTGACTCAACACTCACAGAGGTACTGGTGACAAACAAGTAGTCACCGTATTCTTAACTACCACATACTTGCAGGGGGAGAAAAAGCCAGTTTCACCTGAGAATTCCCTTAATGCAGCATAAAGGTTATTAGTTTTATTAAATTAGCTCTTGAACACGCCTTTTAAAATATTCTATGTGACTAAATGGGAAGTAAGCAAAATACACTGTTGTTACATACCAAAGTAGATGGTTGACTGGACAATAAGGACCTATACAACTGTTTGAATTGTAAGCTACTTTTTTTTTTTTTTTTACACACAACTCCATTTTTACTTGAAATTTCAACTGACAAACTATTATTATTCAGATTTGAGTATTTGATAGACATTTTCCCAAAACTAGATGCATAAGCCTGACATTTCAAGGAAAACAAATGATAGTATTTGTTGTCAGTGATAAAATTTGTTTTCAAGCAAAAGCTAGAATCTTAGAAAATTTGTTTCAGCTAAGTTTTGAGTGAGCTTGACAGCTTTTCAATGATGAGACTGGTGGTGATATTAACAGACAGATATTCATAAAGTAATCTGTAAACATTTAGAAGCTCTACACTTCCTAGTGAACCAATATTTTCCAAATGACCAATGGCATGATTTTACAAAACTATGCATAGATAAAAAATACATTCAAATACAAGAGAGACCAATGCAAGTTAATTAACTAAGTATAAAAAGTTCCCTGATAAGGTTTTCAGATTCTGCATTACAACTGATGTTTAAGAAACCACCTGTTGGGCCGGGCGCGGTGGCTCACGCCTGTAATCCCAGCACTTTGGGAGGCCGAGGTGGGTGGATCACAAGGTCAACAGATCGAGACCATCCTGGTCAACATGGTGAAACCCCGTCTCTACTGAAAATACAAAAAATCAGCTGGGCATGGTGGCGCGTGCCTGTAATCCCAGCTACTCAGGAGGCTGAGGCAGGAGAATTGCCTGAACCCAGGAGGCGGAGGCTGCGGTGAGCCGAGACCGCGCCATTGCACTCCAGCCTGGGTAATGAGAGCGAAACTCTGTCTCAAAAAAAAAAAAAAAAAAAAGAAACCACCTGTTGAAGAATTTCAGTGTAGCATCAAATAAGACAGTCAACAGTTACCTAAAAAGGTTACTAAAACATGCCTCTCTTTTTGAATTATCTACGTGAGACTAGACATTCTTTATGTACTTCAACCCAAACACATATAACAACAGATTAAAAGTGAAGCAGATGTGAGAATCCAGCCCTCTTCTATTAAACTAGATTGAAAAGATTTTCCAATCTTCTCACTATTTTTTTTAAATTGTTGATTTTTATAAAAAATGCTTTTTTATATTAATGTTAGGAGTTTATTATTCTTTTATAAAAATTTCTAACATGGCTTTAATTTCTGACAGGGCACATGTTGATACATACAAGCCACATAAACAAAAGCCCTTTGGGGGCCTAATTTTTACAAAAGTGAAGGGGCCTGAGATCCCAGAGAGGTTTCAGAGCTATAGATACTCATTGTCTTTAATATGAAAAAGAGACATGTAAGACCTACTAAAATGTAGGCATAAATTTAGAGCTATTTTCTAGCAGGAATAAAAGTCTTGCTTTAAACCCTCTTTATTCTAACCTCGGCTGACTCAGGTCCAAGATAGAAGAGCTGGAATTGCGAGGGCAATCTCAAACTAAGAGTCCACCCAGGAAGCATCCTAATCTCTTTGGTACCATTATATTGGAATTCTAACCCAGTGATCGCACACTTTAAGGCCTAGCAAGATGACTGAATTGTGTGTAGCCCAAGAACTCCTGGCATGCCTCCCAGGAGATTCCAAGGCAGGTAGTCCTCAGCCTGCCTTTTATAAGACGAAGTTCTACACACCATACAAGCTGACATGCTAGTTGCCCTCTTTTCACCTTATCTGTTCTCAACATGTATTCTGGATGGCTATGTGACTCAAAATAAAATTTTACATCATTATCTTAGATGTCAATTCCTAACAATTGTATTGAGGACCAGGCCTGCATTATGACACTGGCCCCTCTTTTACATTCTCACTCTGGTTCATATGCCCAACACCTTCCAGCTGGATCATTAGGATGGCCTTCCAACTGGTCTTTGCACAGCTCCAGTTAAATTACTTATACTTGTTGCTATGGCTTGAATGCCACTTCCAAAATTAAGAGGTGGAACCTTTAAGAGGTGATTAAGTTGGCCGGGTGCAGTGGCTCACACCTGTAGTTCCAGCAGTTTGGGAGGCCGAGGTGGGTGGATCACAAAGTCAAGAGATCAAGACCATTCTGGCCAACGTGGTGAAACCTCATCTCTATTAAAAATACGAAAATTAGCTGGGCATGGTGGTGCACGCCTGTAGTACCAGCTACTTGGGAGGCTGAAACAACAGAATCGTTTGAACCCGGAAAGTGAAGGTTTCAGTGAGCCAAGATAGCACTGCTGTACTCCAACCTGGTGACAGAGACAGACTCTGTCTCAAACGAAAAAAGAGTTGATTAAGTCATGAGGGCTTCACCTTCACAGCAAAAATGGATTAAGGCTGTTCTTTTGGAAACAGGTTCATTATTTCAGGAGTTTGCTCCCTTTTCTCCTCTCTCTCTTGCATGCTCTCTCACCATGTGATGCCTTCTGCATGTTACCATGCAGCAAGAAGACCATCACCAGATAAGATCCCTTGAACTTGGACTTCCCAGCCCCCAGGATAGTGGGCCAAATAAACTTGTATTGTTTATAAATTACCCACTCTGTGGTACTGTTATAGAAGCAGAAAATGAACTAAGATATTTATCTAGAAAACTAGCATGAATTATTATTAATGTACTAATACTTGTCCAGAAAACTAGCTCAAATTATATCACTACTCTGCTCAAAAATATGAAGTGCCTATAACTTGAAGTTCTCAAATGACTTGATTTAGCATTTATAGTTCTCCATAATCTGGCTCCACTTTGCTATTCCTACCACCTTCCTCTGTTGATCTCCTTGGATACTCCACAAATGAAGAAAATGTTTTGCTCTCCTGGACCAGACCCAAGATTTCCATCCTTACGCATTTGGTTCTGTTATCTCCTTTGCCTGGAGTACCTACCATGTGAGTTGCCCCCTTAGTTCTTTTACATTTGAACACTACATGTGCTTCAAGGGCCAGATCAAATGTCACCTACTCCAACCAAGCTTTACCTGATCTTGCAGCTGGGAATAATTTCTGAAAATCTTTTGGTCTATTTCTCTTGGTTTTCCTTGTAACACTTTCCGCCCTGTAGCACAGTATTCTAAATGCATATTTCATCTTCCTGAATACACTGGAAGAGTCATATAGGAGTTTTGTGCATTTACATGTCTGATTCACCACCATACTCTAAGTCTGACCACAGCTAACAGTTTTACCCATAATGGAAACTCAATAGTTTTTAATGAATTGATCTTTTTTATAGAATATTTATTCTGATTTCTCAAATGTAGAATGTAGAATTTACCAAGCAAATCATTCTTTGCTATACAAATAATCTATCTTTTTGGTTGATGGTGGTGACTTGTTTGAGTAGTTTTTAACAAGTAATTTGTATGTTTCTGGTACATACCCAGTTCTGCAAGGAATCTCTCACTCAACATCTGATATTAAGAATTCATTAAACATATTTACAATAAAACTTCACTCTCCTCATAGTTAGGCCTTTCTCAGAGTCCTGTCTTAGTATTTGAAAACATGCAGCCATAATACAGCATGTGCTAAGCACTGTACAAAAACACAGAGTACATTACCTCTGTTCTTTAAGATATTTTTTGATTCTATCCTATTTGTGAAACTTTATACTGTTCTGATGCCCAACAGAATCAGTAGCCAAGAGAAACTGAAAGCATAGAAAGAAAAAGCTGTGGGAACAGTTCTGGGGAAATGTTCCTGTCCATATGCCTGCAAAAGCCAACAGCTGATTCCCTAGAAGAACCACAAACCCCAAGGTGATCACAACTTGCACAGTTCCAAATGTTTACGGAACAGTTCATTTCTGAGCTATTGGCATGTCATAAAAAGCAGAACACTTTTGCAGTATTCTATAAAATCTGGTGGTCAGACAAGAAAAGCTAGTGGGAACAATTTTGCTGCAACTGAGGTTGACCAAAGCAATAAATTGGGAAGAGCCAAAATGGAGACTTTCTGGCTGATAGAAAGATATTTGTTGCATACACACGGTGAAGTAAGATCTTTTAATACTGCAGAAATGCAACTGCATTCTAGCACAACTTGCCAATTTCCCAAACCAGTATTTTTTCTTTTTTATCAGAAACTTAACTTACCAATCCTGTGACAAAACTGACAAAGATGCATGAGGTTCTAGATTAAAACAAACTCACAGTCCATGAAAAGAGATAAAACCCATCTAATGTCTCATCCTATATAGCATAAAGTATAATTAGAGTCACATACTATAAGACATGATGCTCAAAAGTAGAATATTAAATTTGTCCCTCACTTTGAGTGATTTTTCTTCTGTGACTAATCAGATCTCAAAACAAGTTATTACCATATTTACTCACATAACAAAAACTTAAGAGAATTATGCTTGCTTTAAAACACATGATTCCACTCACATTTGCTCTTTCATCTTTTAACTGTCTATGGCATTCTTGTTGGAAATGCTTATCAGAGCTCCTAAAGTGGGAGTTCCGTTTCTCCACCTGGCCCATTCCCTTTGTTCTACATGTTGTCACTCTCTTGATTACAGAAGGCCACCTAGCGTCATGTTCAGGCTCAAGCATAAAGTAATGAATGGCAAAGGAACAGTCTAGATTTCAGGAAGGTGGCATCAATGTTTAATATCACAATGTGCATAAACTAATATACATTATAATATGAATTATGTAATTAGATAAGTCAATGCACTTTACAAATCATAAATAAATTTGGGCAGCTCTAAGTTTAGGGATCAGGTATGTTCCAGAACTCTCCCAAGCTTCTAACTTTTTTCAGAATTTAGTACACAATTTTCCTTGAAAACAAAGCAGTGAATCTGAGGAGTGAGATTCAGCCCTGATGGACGGAACAATGGTAGAGTGATTAACAGCATGTACTCTGATGTCAGGCTTACTGAGTTCAAAGCCTGGGTCTGCCACATATCATCTAAATAACCTGAAAAATCAGCTTGATTGTTCCAAGCCTCAGTTTCCCTCTCAATAAAAGAGAGGAAAATAATAATACTTAGTTACCTCATAGGACTGTGAGAACTGAATAGCTTTTTTCACACAGCACTTAGAATATGCTAACTGTTCATAAGTGTGAGCTGTCATTTTGTTATAGATGTTACCATTATTATTTGGCCACCATTTCAGCCTATAACTTACAGAACTACTGAACTAACTTGAATTAGTTAGTTAGCTGAACAGCTCAACTAACTTACTCAAGTTAATTCAGCACCTGTTCAGATGAAAACTAGCTAATTCAAGTTCTTTCAATACTGGGAAGTAAAAGTCTACCAGACGCTGAACAAGAGACAAAGAATAGGTTTTCCAAAATTCCTGTAATAACCAATGTTATAAAAAATAAACCAAAGCTTTTATTTGGGACAGACCCCTTTTTTTTTTTTTTTTTTCAAGTAACTTTCTTCTATGTCCTATTATCACCTCAGCCTCGATATTTTATATTCTCCAATGTCTTCCTCCCTCATTGCTGTCTAGATTTCTTCCCTTGACTAACACCAAATAAAAAGTTTCTCCCCTTCAGATGAACACACATGTTCCTTTATTACAGGAACATTTAGTCCAGTCTTCAACTGGACTTGAACACAAACAACGTGATTAGTCATGTTAACATTCAAGTGACACTCATGAAAATCAAAACAGATCAATAATACAAACTGGTTTTGTTTGCATGTGCGTGAGCACGTCTGCGTGCACGTGTGTGTGTGTACCTTTGAGAGTTGATATTACCTACAAGGCTGACATACAGTATACATACATAAAGCTATTATCACACTTTATGATGTTTCTCTCTCTTTTGTTAGAAAGCATAGATAACCAAAAATTGGTAGCATTTTTTTCAGTGGCTTACACAGTTGCACTAACAAGAGCTCAGACAGCATGGGTTAAAGCAAGGGGTGTCATTTGTAGGCAAGTGCTCTTTTTTTCTGTCAAGTAGGCTTTTAAATAAAATATAATTGGATTGTGAATATGAGAAAAGCAAACACAAATCTCAGCACAACATGGGCTTTTTCTTAAGAATTCTTGTAACTGTTTATATCCTACCTTTTCTGCCTTTTCACAGCTTTTTGCTTAAGCATTCCAATTTCACCTGTCTCCATAGCTCCAAAGCTCTAGTAATCAACTTTTGTAAAACACCCCAAGATTCTCATTTGTCTGTTCATCACTGTGCCTCCAATATCTATACCGAATCTGTCACAGAGCAGGCCATCGATATTTGTTGATTAATGAATGGATGAATGGGAAGTGATTATGTGAATTATCTAACCATTGATTCGAGTACAAGCAGTCTAATATTTATATAGTCTAAAATAACTCTTCCTCACTCCCTTTCTTCCTTTTATATTTCTTATCTGAAATACTGTTTCTTCTCTGAGGTTCTTTCTAAAGTAGGACAGTCCCTTTTTTTAATTCTCAGAAGCAAGCTTCCCCTTTGTGCTTTGAAATTGCCATTATAAAAAGGATGCTATTTCAGACAATTCTAAATGAATAGTTTCTATAAATAAAGCTGGATGAATGAACCATTAAAATCGTATCTTAAGGTGATCAGACTTCCTTCTTTACGCAATCACTATATATTAAAATGAGACCAGCCCATATATCACATATACCATCAAGCAGGTTTCTTCACAGTTAATCACATCACTAAATCTGTAATTGTCAACCTTCTATCTTAGGCTCTGGAATGCATCTTACTGTCTCAAGAGGCAAGTGGAACTCTCAAAATGAAATTAATTTTAATTAACTTTAAAATATAAGTGTGGATGTATCATACAGCACTTGGAATACAAAAGAGAGTGTCACAGCATTAAAGGAGTAGGGATCAATGCACTAGCTAAAAAGAAGACAAATGAGTTTGAAACATTGCCTGAGGTTAAGCGCTTCACTTCCAAATACAGTTTCCCATGAAGAACACACTCAGAAGAAAAGAGAGAGAGACAGTCTAATTTGAATGTTACACCTACTGTCTAAATTTTATTTAGATGAGGATAGTTAAAACTATATTTGCCTGAGGACAGAGGACAAACTACATGAGAAAAGACATTTACTGGGTATCCAGGAAGGTTCCACAATGC